AATCATAGATTGATCCTTCGTCCTAAACTCATATCATTTTAAGTTTGACCAAAAGTCAATCTCGTCAAATGTTAACGATCAATAGGTCAAGGTCAAAGTTAACGGTAAAAAATCCAACCCGTCGCAACCAAGCCTTGGTCGTGTAGCTATTACCAGGCGATAAAACAATCACAACATCAGACCTATATTTACGATGCGAACCTTCCGTGGTTGCATCACGATTCTCGAGGAAAAATAGTAATTCCATTAAGCACTTAATCCCTTAAGACTAAGGCTCTAACTTTCTAGATCAGATCAAAATAATGACTTCATGGATAAAGTTTCCAACTTTATCCATTTGTATGCCTCGAACACATCCATCTCTAACCTAGGTCTAAAATGGGACCAAAATTCTACAATCTTCATACATGGGTCAAATGGGAGGTTGAACACACATACGAAACAACCCTAAGGGTCTATAATAACAACTAAAACCACCTTTAAATCCTTGAGTTATCCAAACTCCAATGAATCAAGACAACAAGGGACTAACTAAGCTCTAAATCCTAGATCTAGCATGAAAAAGCCTTAAAGGTGGTCACTTGATAACTTACAGAGCTTGATAAGGCCACAAGAAGGCAAAATCTATCTGGAGTTGCTTCATTTGATGTAGAATAGCAACTAACTCTTCAATCTTTCTCTCTGAAAAACCAAACACAATGGAAGAAGGCAAAAGAGGCTAGGGTTTTGGAGGTGAAACGTTTATAGGGTTAGAGGTTGACCAATAAGGGAAACCCTAGGAGTTAGTGACATTATAAAGGGATCAATACCCAACATTAGGGTTTTAGATTTTTGTGGCTTCGTGTCATGGCCTCTGTATAGTCGTGTCACTACTTGCAACATGGCTTACAATGCTACACATCAATACTTGTGTTGCGACTACAAGTTTTTATGCTAAAACCCAATAACTTGAATTCCTCAAATTGACAATTTAACAACATTGTAAATGGGTGTTACAATTCTCTCCCCTTATCAAGATTTTATCCTCAAAATACGCTTTCAGAAGTCCTTTCGGGTACTTTACCCGCATTCCTTTATTGGACTTCCAAGCCCCTACAATCCTCAACAATTCAAAACTACCAAATTGTGATTATAGCAACGCTAACAAATACTTATACGGAACTGTCCATGACCGAAAACTTATCCGTCTAAAAACTCTAATTTCGACAATTATCTCCCTCGAGCATAAAATCAACAAGTTTCCAACAAGGAATACTACATATTCATTCTAAATCGAGTACCTTGATCAACACATCCACAGTACCTCAAAAGGAACTATATACCTGACACCTGTCCATTAAGGCTTTTAGAGCTCATTTATCGTTTCAACCGCCAAAATTTTCCTATACCAACAAGCATATCTCCCAATTGCTTACGATCTAACATCACTTACCATACATAACTTCATGCTTTTCCATCCGAATCTAGAAACCCACAACCTCATGCTGAATCATCGGATTCACTGTCCGACCCTCAGCACTCTACATTACTCTTTTCTAACAGCATTTGCCGAGTCCCACCCATGAAATACATACAATTATGAGCTTACAATCCAATCATGATTCCTCCCACCTATTAGGACTTTAAGACTCATGTCACAATACCGTTCTTGTCCATATCCCACTCCAGTCCATTAGGCTCGCGATACGATAACATTCTTTCCATAATCCCACTATTACCACTAACAGTCCTTCTAACAACAACATGAAGCAGAACTCTAGAATACTAGACCCCATAAGGTGTTTAGATCGTGCTTCGAATCCCTAAGCCCCAATCAAATAAGAACATACAAATGGCTTTCTCAGCATAACACTCGACATAATCCGACCACCTCAAAACATGTGCCAACACTTATAACCTTAATTCTTTTTGTTGATAAATATGGATATCTACTAAATCCTTAACTTTAACTGCTAAAACGTCTGCTGAATATCATCCCTATCACAAGTTGCATCCTTTAACTACATCCGAGCCCACTACACCATCAACCTCTAAATACGAATCACATTAAGTAGATACATTGCTTCTCAATCCTTCATTATGATTAGATAGCTCTCCCCACTTGGAAATGACTAGTAACTGATGCCGACCCTTATCACTCGAATCCCCTAACCGGTCTAAGCAACTATACTTTTTGGGTTCTAAGATTCTATGGATAATATGGAGCCAAATAGTCATCTGAATAATCAACTCCACCTTAGAACCCTTATTAGACGAGAACAAGTAGCAAGGTTAAGTCAAAATTCTAACACTATGGTGATCTCAACCATGCATAACACTTAGATGCTAAAAGAAATTTCAAAATGTCCTACCATTAACCTCTAATTCTAAACTACATCTATGAAATCACTAACAACATGCAACCTAACGAGCAACTCGACTAAGTGTTTCAAAACCAATACATGACAAGAGTCAACCGAAACATATCATCCCTCAAGATCATCAAAGAGTATAATTAGACATTATAACATAAATGAAAACATACCAAATGCATTGCCAAGTGCTACACTCACATCCTCTATAGAAATCGGATAAGCTAAAACCTTGTCCCTTGGGACCTCCATTATCCCCTATCGTTCATCCGACAATTGCCATGCTTTATGTGTTGGATCCAAAACCATCCTTTCCATTCGGCGAGGACAGTCAACCTTTACATGATCTAGATGGATGTATAGAAAACACACCCCCATCTCACCTTAACTATAGTCATGGTTGTAATGATCTTCCTGACCACATCTGAACCACCTCAAAATAGACGTACGACAAGCACCCCCATGAATCTTGCTACATCCGTCTCTTTTCTCCTGGATGCAGTTATGAACTCAGAAAAGGTCCGACTCTGGCCATGCTCATGAAATGCTACGAAAAGACATTTAGATATTTAATTAAAAATAACAGTAGATCATATGGAATATTATCAAAATATGGGTAAATATAAGATAACAATGATGCTAAATTACAATCATTTTGGTGTGGTTTGAGTTTCCCCAACAAGTTTTTTTTTTTTTTTTTAAATAAATACGATATAAAAAAATTCATATAGCATTGTCTAAATATATAGATGATTTAGTTAAGAAATAATCATTTTATAATTTATATAGATATATGTTAACCAATCTATATTAAAATAGGTGGGTTTTCATTTATGTTATAATGAATTCGCCTAATTGTCATGTATTGAAATCGACCAAACATTGACGTTGACCATACAATTGAATCCGCCTAGTCGTCATGTATTAAAATTGACTAATGATATTGTCGTTAAGAACTATTAGAAACACATATTTCTTAATAAAAGTAAATAAAGATCGTTTATAAACTTGATCATTCATGCTATTCCACAATTTATTCTCTCTATATTTGTTGTAGTAGCCGGAAAAGATATATTTTATGTAGTTATCGTATCTCAGACATTAAAAGCTTGATTAAATCACTTTAGTTGGATGTATAATAACATAAATCATGTTTGCAAATAATTTATTATATATTGTAATAGCACCCTATTTATCTCCCTCGTGAGTATGTATAAACATTATTAAACAACCAAACAAACCATCAGGCACTACTAGAAAAAAGACCTTTAACGACGCGCTTTTTATGACACGCGCTAATTAACGATACGCAATAGGACGTGCCCTAAAAATAGTGTTATCTCTTCAAAAAATGTAAGGATTTACGTCACGCATTATTGCGTGCCCTTAATTTAGTGTCTCAAGAAAAAAAATTAGAAACACGGAGGGCGCTTTATCTTAAACGTGCGTCGTCTGTACATGTCGCTTTATAATTTTAATGAAACGCGCTTTTAGTTAATGAAGGGGGAAACGAAATCCCCAAAATTTTGAAAACCCGCCTTGTTTTTTCTATCTTCTATCTATTTTTCATCCTTGCAATCCCCTCTCCCCTCTCTGATACTCTCTCCTCTAGATCTCCCTTCATTCTCTACCTCCCGTCTCTCTGTAAACCTCGAAGGTGAATCGTAATTGATCTGCGAGGTCTCCTTCTTTTCTTTGTTTTCTCAGGTACAACATCATCCTAATCCATTAACCCCTTTCATTTTTCATTAAAAAAACCCTAATTGACTTGGCAAGTTCATGAACCAGATGTAGCACATTCCAAACTGGGGATTTAACCAAACCCGATAGAGCCATTGACGGAATCTTCGGATCCGGTCAACAAGGACTCTCTGTAATCAAACAACTTTCTTCACAAGGGATCGCTCCAGGTCTTCAATCTATCAATCTAGAATGTCCACTATCAAGTTACATCGAATCAAGGTCTAGGGTTTCAAATGCTTCAAGTTCTTCCCAAATAATTTCCCCTCTCAAGACGATTTTCCTCGATCGTATCTTTATGGCGATGATTCTCTCTCGATCGGATCGAAGACCGCTCACTCTCTCCTTAGATCTCCATGTGAGTCTGATCCCCCCTCTCTGTAACAGCCTCGCTTCCTTCCAAAAATCGAAGACCATTCTCTCTCGATCGTCTCTTTATGGCGAAATTTAGACACAATAATCTCAACATAAAATTCGTAACTGAACTCCTCTTCACCTCTACCCTACTCCATCTACAACGACTCCTTAAATTTACAAACCCTAGTCCAGTTGCGCTTCTAGTCAAATCAGGTACCTATCTATCTGCTTTCTGAATTCTCCTGGATTGGAAATTTCTTGATACTTCACTAGCTTTTAAACAAACAAAAATCAGTTTTTCTCTCAATAATTCGTTGGATTTTTCATTGGTGTTCCCCTTACTGGTTTCGATAACCTCTCTAATCTGTGAGGTTTGTGTTTACTTTCTTGCCCTCCCTCTCTCTAAGAAGAAAACGCAGCCTCATCGCCTTCAATCACCCAACGACATAGGTGGAACTCAAACTTTTCAGACCAAAAGAAATATTGTACGAAAGAAAAGCTATCCATTAATGGAAGAAGTGCAGGGGGTTGCTTATTGGTGCTGTTGTGAACATGAGACCTGATTTATTTAAGGCTACTATAGCTGGAGTACCATTTGTAGATGTTGTGACTACAATGCTTGGTCCAACTATTCCTCTTACAACTGCAGAATGGGAGGTGATTTATATATAATATTTTTTTGTTTTGGAAACTTAAAGCAGGATGCTATGATAATATTAGTATGTTTCTTTCTAAATGTGAATGACTTGCTCTATTGCAGGAATGGGGTGATCCTCGGAAAGAAGAGTTCTACTTTTACATGAAATCATATTCACCAGTTGATAATGTGAGTGCCAATGTATCTTGTTTTAGTTTAACTGACATAAATCCATCTGACAGATCATCAAATGAAAATGTTGAAGTTAATTACTGATGGGTGTCTATTTTGAATAGGTAAAAGCTTAGAATTATCCAACCATAGTTGTTACTGCTGGAATAATGGTAGGTTGTCAAGAGTGATATTCAGGATGTGATTGATAAAGATGGTGAGGGGTTCACTATGGTCACAAAAAAAGCTGGAAATGCAGGGAGTGCTACTGTGAAGGGGTACGGTACAGGTGATATTCATCCCAATGTTTCTGGAAGAAAAGGTAGTAATTGGAATGGAGGGAATAACAAAAGAGGAAGCTATAATAGTGTTAATAAGGGTAATAAAGGTTGGAATAACAGAAGTCATAGGGGGAATTGGAATAGGGGGAGTGTTAGCCATTGGAATCATCAAAAGAAACACGAGTTTGTTGCTGCAAATAATAAATCTTTCATTGTAGATAAGCAGGGGCATAATGGGAAAGAGAGTGTGGATTCTAGGAAAAAAGAGGAAAAAGTGGAGAAGGGAAAGGATTTTAAGGGTAGCCAAATTATAAATCTTTCATTGTAGATAAGCAGGGGCAGGCTTCTCCTGATTCTATGGAAAAGGTTGTCACATAATCAACTTTGTGATTGTATATTGATGATTATAGATTGGTGGCTTTGAGAATCTAACAATAACTTTAACTTTTTTTCTTGCAGATATCAGCAGAATCCTGTCCTACTTCTGATATGTTGGTCAATAATTCTGACAGTGGTCAAACTGAGGCTATAGAATCTAAGTGTGATACCAGTGTGAATTCCAATCTTGGGAACCATGATTGTTTAAATCCTATGAATGACATCCTTGATACCATGTAAGTTGGAAAATTTAATCATTGCAACTTACTAAGTATCAAAATAAGAAGGTTGGATGTTTTACTTTGTGATGTTTTACTTTGTGATGTTTTTTTATTTATCGCTCCGGAAAAAAATCCAGCCATGAATGACAAGACATCCGATGGTAATCATCTCCACTCATTAACCAATTGGATCTCATAGATTTTTTATGAACTTTCGTTAATTTTTGTTCATGTTGTGTGGATTTTTGATTTTGAAGACATGGCGCCGTTGTACGAAACCCTAGCCATGAATTCCGTGTTGGAACTCGACCAGAAGGTCTTAGATTGCCGAAGAGCTCAAGAAGCTTGATGAAAAGTAAGTTATGTTTCATTGCATCTCACTACTAATCCATGCTTATTTTCATAAATATATATGTACATAGATTTAACATATTCAAATTTGAAGGTAGATGTTCTATTTCTGCAACAAATTTTTTTCGTATGTTTAATCCATCTGCATTTTACATGGATTTGTTATTGAATCTGTTACTGAATGATATTGGCATTTTTTGTATATAACCACCGATACCTACATGAAAATGTTGCAATAGTTACGCTTGAATAGGTTTGAAATAAACAAGTCTAACTCTAATCCATCGAACCATGAACTTAAGATCATAATACAAGCTGTTGGAGTTTGGGCTTTTGTATTGCAATGTAACATTGTATAGGTGCTGCCATGTTCCATCGTAAGAAAGTTAATGGAATCTATGTTCAGGACCTCAAATTCCATGGAGTTTGCTATTAAAGAAAATGCAAATCAAAAGTGAGTGATAGATTGGTTTGGCCTGTCTCACCATCTTTTTTTTGTTCTTGTTTTATTTAGAACCGTGGATGCTGAAGAAAATTTAGGAGAAAGTGAAGTTAGAGAAGCTCATTTTACAAAATTTTTGTTCTACATTCGGATTGGTGACAAGGTACTCAACAAATAAAGTTTACCTGTTCATGCAAATTTTATACTATGTTGATTTCCAGTGCTACTCCATAGTTTTTTTCATGCCATATAATAATGCCCCTATATTGTACCAAAACTCATAATACACCATAAGTTTATAAAACATAAATGCAACACATTTTTGTATTCAACAAAAAACTTGTATTCGACAGAATCGCTAACAAAAGCAGTTTCAAATTTAATTAAGAATATGTCCCAAAGCTGTTGCTGTTAGCTGGAACAGATAGACTTGACATGTTCTTTCTTTTTCTTCCCATTCATTGTTGTTTGGATAAATGATGTTTAAAATTTAATTAAGAATATGACTGCACCAGGGCCCTCACAATATAATATATAATAATTTTTAAATAAAAAGTCAATATTATTTCTTGGTGGAAGGGTAATATGGTAATTTTCTGTACCAGGGCTCTCACGATAGGACAAATGCAGGGAAAGTTTCAAATGGTGGTTGTCCGACATTTGGCTGCTCTGTTGAAGATGAAGCAACCCACCACACCACACACATGTTGGCATGAGCTGTCATGAGGGTATTTTAGGAATAAATTCTTTTATGTAAATTCCTTGATTATAGGAGTAGATTAGCCTCTATCCTTTTTTAGCTTCTTATGCTCCTTTATAAAGTATTTCCTTTCTGTTATGAATTAATGAGAAATGAAATACAAAAATACACTTTTTATCATGGTATCAGAGAGGCTTTGACATCCCGTAGAAACTTAACCAGGTACTCCATTATCGTCTATTAAACCTCACCAGGTACCTCCTTTTCCATAAGACATACATACTTAGTTATAACTCTAAGCTTTTGTGGTCACGTGGATTTTTGGTGCATAATCATTTTGATGTCTACAAGTCTCAAATTTTGATTATGTTCTTGTGTTTGTTCATCTAAATACAATATTTACACTTAACATTCATGGGTTCAAGATTTTGATTTTTAGGTTTATCATTTAGGTAATCCAGGGATAGCAAATTAACTAGTCTTATTCGTGATTCATCTGGTGGAAGGACTAAAACATGCATCATTGATACATTATCTCATGTTGTTTATTCTCTTGAAGACATGAATGCCCTCCTTATTCCCCTTTCAGGTTGCATGGTTGACGAGATCAGGGGATTATGAATTGGAAGTTCCAATTGCAATTAGACCAACAAGTGAAACTGTGATGTATCTGTATTTCACAAAATGATCAGGGGACACCATGACTTGCCCTAGAAACTTAACCAATGGTGTAATGTTGTTCGGTGGGATTTTAGTAATCCGACTCCATTTATCAGGTAGCTTCTTTGCTTTCTTATTCATAATTCATCACATGACATGATTTTTTGTCTTGATTTTCTATTTCATGAAATGATAATAAACTATTGTTATTCTAGGAGCCGTGAGTTTCTTTGGCAAGAAGGACACACTGCCTTTGCATCAAAGGATGAGGCAGACGCTGAGGTACAATTATAAATTTAAGGAATAAAAAATACCTATGTTACACTTTATTGTATTTTTATACTGATATTGATAAAATTGTATTTCCTATTGTGATTAACCATTAATAAACTATTTTTGAAAATAATCTAGTTGTCTATATCCATAAACTGGTGAAAATTTTACGTTCTGCTTTAGTATATTATAGTATTATACTATTATTATATACTCAAATTGATAAAATAGGTTAATATATTGTCAACTGTCGTATCAATATTAGTATACTTGTTGTTGATTGTTAAAATTGGTTAGTTTAGTGGATAAATCGATAAAATATTTTAGTGATGTATTTATTTTTAGGTCGTCGAAACTCTTGAACTGTATAGGCGGCTATATGAAGAATACTTGCCTGTCCCTATGGTGAAATTGAAAAAAAAAAAATGCAAGATAGAGATGTTTGACGGTGGACTTTATACCACCAGTGTTGAGGTACTTACTAATAATAGTTTTGAAAATATTAAATGACTTTTTTGCCCCCGTCAAGTATTATAACTTATTACATTATTTGCATATTAACCTCCATTGTTTGTGTTAATATTGAACTCTCCCTCTCATATTGAACATATAAAGTAAACTTCTATTATATACTGCAGTTCTGTTTTGAAATAGAAGAGAAAGTAAGAGGACTTCTGCATAATGTGTCATTTTTATTGAAACTAGGGGGTTACTTAATTGGTATTATTCTAGACTCTTCTACTATATGGCAGGCTATCATGTTTTTGGGAGTCATTTTCTCAGAATTTATTTATAGCATCATTTTCTTGCTTTCATTTTGAATAATTGGATTGCATTGCAGGGCAAAGTATCAGAAAAATGCGCATTGATATAAAAGAAATTGACAAGTGCATTGAAATTAATGATTTTTTTTTTGGGGAACCTATTTGAAGAGTACAAAGCAAATTTAGAACACTTGACCTTTGATAGCATATCGGGTAAATCTATTTTATCCTTAAATTAAGTTTTATCAATTGAAATTAATGATTTGTTGTTTAGCTTGTTATTTTAATGAAACCAGTTTTATTAAAATGAGTTTTGTTTATGTCATGGTCATGATAGATTGGTACATAGAGATGCTGGCCTGGTGGCTTTTGTCTTTCACTGTAAGTGGCTATGTAGTCTTTAAATTTTACCCTTTCAAGTCCTTTACATGTATAAGGGTTGTTGGAGCTGGTAGACAAAGGCGTATATACAAGAAACTAATCAACAACAGGTAAATTGTAACTAACTCCAAGTAAAATAATCATCTTAAACTTCAACTCCAGATATGCTAGGTAACTTGGTTGTTTCTGCTGATGAAACAGGTCCAGTTGGTCCTTATGCATCAGGTAAAGTTGATGGAAGAAAGGAATATGAAGCCACTTGATTTAAATCTTGCACCATTATCAGCAAGATGCAATAATGACTTGGAGTTGAATTTGGCTAAGTCATTATTGAGTGAGATGGGCCAATGTACAACTGCTTATCCATATAATTAGCTGTTTGGAGCATTAGTCTCAAAGAATTATGAAAGGCAAGATGTAACTTTACTTAGTTGGAATTTGATGTACACAGTAGATTAGATGCAAATTTATATATTGTAAGAAATAGAATTGTATGACATTAAATTTATGCAATGGATTCTATTTTTGTATATGATATTTTATTTTCTATTATAAAACATTAAATACAAATTTAATTTGAAAATAAATAAATCTATAAATAATATTTTTTTAAACATTTAAAATTATGATACGCAAAAATGTGTGTCATCTTCATTTATGACATGGCCTTTCTTGACAGGGGCTTTCTTGATACGCATTGCGTGTCATTAACATGAGCGTCGTAAGGTTATGACATGCGAATGCGTGTCGTCTTCCTTTATGACATGGCCTTCCTTGATACGCATTGCGTGTCGTAAATGCGCGTCGTAATTGCGCGTCGTATTTGCGCGTCGTAAATGCGCGTCGTCTATAGACGATGCGCAAAAGTGCGTCGTCTCTCTTTATGACAGGGCCTTCCTTGACGCGCATTTGCGCGTCGTCTGAGCCTTTTATGACGCGCAATGAGCGTCGTAAAAGGCTGTTTTTCTAGTAGTGAGGTTGCAAAATTCTTATATATATATATATATATATATATATATATATATATATATATATATTAAAGATGGATATTTTTTAGGAATAGTGAAGTTGTGTGTTGTTTGTAAAGAATGGCCCTCTGTTTATATATGTATGTTGAAATTCGTCTCTGGGTCAGTTTATGTTAACACCGATATTTTGTGCGGACATGTTGGAATACACAGTTCCGGTTTCCCGGTCATTTTATCTACACCCATAGGTTAATCGATCTTCCAGTTTCTTTTTATCCAAAATCGGCGTCTGCCTGTTGCTTGAGAGTGATTGTATCTAGGGTTTCAAATCTCGATTTCGCGTATTCTGTTTCTTCTATATTGTTTTTTTATTACAATCACACAAATCTTCTTCTTCGTTCTCCACCAAATCTCTCTGTTGCGACACCGCCTCCGCCAAAGCCTCCGTCGGTGAGTTGCAGGATCCGTCGGTGGGTTGCTGATGTTGCATTACTTCCACCGCTTCTCATCCAACCCTTCTCTTTGTTTCTTCTTCGTATGTCTGACCATCGGAAGCCACCACCTGTGTCGATGATGATTGAAAGGTATTTTCTCCACCCTTCTAATTTGTTTTTCGTTCCTTGCATTCCCTAGCTGCCTCCAAACCACCACCCCACTATGTTCCTTTTCTTCTACACCTCGAATATTCAACTCTTCTACGACCGACATCATCTAGAGATTGAACATCACCAACCGCTTCTCTCAAACAACTCGATATTCAATCGAAGTTTTGGGTGCAATGCATTGATCTTCACATCAAATGGCTTCATCGTAACCATCTGCAATTAATTCCACTGTTCTCTTCTTTTTCTTTCTCTATTCCACACCACGGAAACTCCGCACTATAAACACTGTCGTTTCCTTCTCCCAATAGCTACCTTATTCATGTTTGTTCTGTGGAGGTTTGATGAAATTTTGTTCAATGTTCCATATTAGGGATTACTAAAATTGAATTTTTCTTATTGTAGAGTCGTTGATGTTGTCACTTGATGGAGGGGGAGCGGTTTCTTCTGGAAGCATAACAGGTTTTGTTCGTGGTTCTTTTTTATTGGTGATTAAGTTTTTCATCCGATTAAGGTTCGTTGCTGTGAAGCTTGAAATTTGTTCATTTTTATATAGCAACATATATAATTCTAGATTAACGAGTCCAAAAGTTATATGTGCAGACCAGGTGTTTGATAAAAAGCTTGAGAGAAGAAAGAGCATGTTAAACGTTACCGTTCTTCTATTATGTAAATTGTTCACCTTATAAAACTATATTAAAATAGAATCTTTTGGGTACCCTATGAAAAATTTAAGTGGGTGAATTCTTGGATATGCCTATCCTGACTGGATCACTCTATGAAATTAATAACCTTGAATTCATCATAATGATCAAATGTTTGACCATGAAGGTAAAGAATTGAATACAGAACCCTTTGGTTATAGGTGGATGTCAACGAGGCTTCCACATACATTGTTATTCAGGTCAAACATGAGCTTTTCTGTTTTTCTTTTCTTTCAAACTCCATTTCCAGTGAAAAATTACATTACCATAGAGTAAGAAGTGATTTAAAGCATTTGAAAGATAAAGGTACATGGATGTAGTTATGTTATGATACTTAACTATTTCAAAATACAGAGTAATTAATGTTTTGGGCTGCATCAGCAACCTCCACGTGTATTGCAAGAACTTTCATGGATGAAATTGCTTACAGGTTAGATACATGATACAATAATACATCATTGCATTCATAATAATATCTGTCCAATTTACATGAAATAGAAAAATATCTAACAATTAATGTTTTGGGCCGCATAAATGGAGAAAATATACATTGACGTTTATTTGGAACCAATTTTGTATTAAAAATATATTTTATACATAGAAAAAGAGAAATATGAGATATAGAAATAAACTATATACCGGCCTTATATTGATATTATTATTATTATTTGTGCTCCTTTTTTTAATTATGTATTTTGTTTCTTGGTGTTCAAAACAGAGTACAATCATTGCTTTATTGGATATTTGGAACGGGGATTGTTTTGTATGTCAATGATATTGCTATGATTAGGTAAAATTATCAAAGTGAAATGTTGCAAAATCTTAACTTTCAGTTAATGATTATCATTCCCATTTCCCAATTTACCCTTACTTTTTCACCATGAATAAACAAAAAGAAGAACAAGTTATCTTGATTCTTGAATCTTCCATTTAATCTTTCTTACATATGTTTCCAGTTGCTATTAACAAAAAAAATATATCCAGCTACTGAATACTGATCTTTTACTTTTTACCATTATAAATTAGGCTGGCATGCATATATATTCAACAACATCAGCTAAAGGGAAACGTCTTCAAGTATCTTTTTCTATGATGATAATTGATAAAATAAATCTTTGTTTACAAAAAAAACTAATTATACTTTCAATGCAGTCAAATATGGGAGCTAAAAATCATGGAATTGTGATGCCTGATGTAAACGTTGTTGCTGTTTTAAATGCTTTAGTAGTTGCTAGATTTGGAGCTGCAGGACAAAGGTGTATGGCTTTAAGCATCGTAATCTTTGTTGGAGATGCAACACGATGGTATTATATTTTATATTTTATATTTTAATTATATTGTCAATTTTCAAGTAAAATTTAATCTTATTTTTCAAGGAAAATGAGTTAGCGAAGCGTGCGAAAAACTTATAGTTTAGTGGAAATGGTAAAGATAGTGTTGTTGGTCCTTACAAATTTTTTATGTTTTCAAAATTCAATATCCATTCTAACTACTACCATCTTCTTGGATTGTCCCTACCAGTTCAAGAAGAACAAAAAGAGAACCTGTACTCAGATAACATAGTAAGGTACATGAAATCCATTAACCCATATCACACCCAAGGACACTCCCTCTATTTGTAAATTAAGTAGCATGTTACATAAAACCCAAGATATTTACTAATTTTTAATAAAAACCCAACATATTTGCCCTTTATATCTTACACAACATAAATTGTTCCCGTCTGTTTGAAGAATTATTTTACTATTTTTTAATAAAAACCCAACATATTATGAAAAACTGATTGTTGTGTTGTGTTTTGATTTATTAGGAGTGCTTAAGTTGCATGCCATTTTCATCGTCCATCACTATGGCAGGTGAAGCGATCAAAACATAAGGTTTCCCACTTTTTTTTTAACAAATTATAGAAATTGCAGTAAATTACATTTTTGGTTGTTGAGTATAGCCGATTATTTTAGTTATTGTATATATATTAAAGGAGAACACTTCTTAGGAATAGTGCCTAACCAGTTTAACTCCTTAACCATGGTCACCGCTTCATCTGGATCCTTCCAAAGATCGTTTTCCTTCCATCCTTCCTTATAGCCATTCAATCCACCGCCTCATACTCTCTCCATCTGATCATGATGACGCAACCCGAACGAAATAGAATAAGGATTTGGTAAAGGGTGGTCGAGACACCCCCAACGCATACGACACACCCCTAATGCGGTACCATGGACCTCCGTTCGCCGCCACATACCACCATCGTCGTCGAAGTCGGACGATTAGTCGATCTTCGACCGTCGCCTTCTTTCTTCCTTCACACTTCCTGGAATAGCCCTAAAGTGATGTCTATATGTTATATTCGTTCTTTATCAAGTTTCTATTTTGGGATTAATTGACCCACTGCTTTTATTTTATCCTAATGTTCATACGATTTTCAGTATTGTTTTTTATACAGCAAAGGAAATCAGTCTACTCGCAGAGTCCTCAAGAGGGCAACAGGCGACTGAAAGCTTCAAATCAAAATCCTTTCGTGGAACGAAACCCTACGAAGCGTTGTGATTATGGAGACAGAGGAGGAAGCATCTGGACAGATGACGGACGAGATTTACACGAACGACGTTGATGATGAGTCGCTGTCGCAGCAGCAACAACGTAGACTGATTATCAGTGGCGAGCAACTCGATATCGACGCGTACGCCTACACGAACGGCGTTGATGATGAGTCGATTATCAATGGCGAGCAACTCGATATCGACGCATACGCCGCCGTATACATAGGTCGTACTAAAATTTCGCGCTTGATATTCATCGCCGACAAATGTGGCAATGTTTCGATGCAGTTAGAGGCGCTTCGAATGGCTTATGACGAGATTGAGAAGGGAGAAAACACACAGTTGTTTAGGGAAGTTGTTCACAAAATCGATGGACGATTGGGTCCGAATTACAGTTTGGATTCGGGTTAGATGGACGCGGTGGACCGTAGGGCTGACCAGAGGAAGGAGAAATCTATTTTTTTTATATTTAAAAAAAAGATTTGTATAACTTTTGTTTTTGCATTTAGATGACATTTTTTATTGTTAATGAAATCGAAGACGGTGGAGGGATGGGGTAAGTATGAAGATGTTCTTTCTGTATTTATTGTAGATTGCATTGTACTTTCATTTAAAACTACCTGGATATAAGATTGTATTTTCATTGTTTTCGAAAACCTATTCAAATATAGCATTGTACTTCTTTTGGTAGCATGATCTATCATTACATTTCCATTCATCCGATTGATGGAAAATTATACAGAATAGCAACATACTTTAATTTGGATACCAATTTATGCAATGTACTTCATTATTTGTCTCAGAAAACGAACACATTCCGCCCCGCGCAACGCGCGGGTAACGCCTCTAGTTAACATAAAAGAAAGTTCTTTAATAAAAATAGAATAAAACGAAACTTGTAATCTTTTATTAAAAATTCAATTTCATGTTAGAAATTGGGGTATAGTAAGGCTTGAAATTCTAAGAATTGTGTAAAACACTTTCAGATTAAAGCATTTGAGTGATACTCCCAATATTCTTTAATCGGATAAGACTCAGAAAGACAAGAATTTAGAATGTTTTGATATAGTTTCGTATGTACCAAAAAATGAGACCAAAACCGACTTTATGATCTTTGTCTGAAAACTGTCATATGACGGTTTCAAACTGTGATAAAACTATAAAAATTGACATAAAAACGGAAATTTGGATAATGGTCAAACAATAGTCAATTCTATGAAAATCCGATTTTCTGATGCATTTTTAATATAGCAAATTGTCGACCCCAGCTAAGGGCTGCCGCCCCTTGGACCCCGCTCTCAGGGGCGCTGCCCCGGACTCCAGTTCGTTTAGGGGCTTCGCCCCTAAATGACGGTGTACTTTGAAAACTTGATCAAACTTAAATAAGTGTGCATTCCACACCTTCCTTACTTGTTTAATATTTATCAAGATCAGTTTTGATCAACAAAGTAATCCCATTACACTTAAATAATATTGATGATAATAAATCACCAACATTTAATTCAATAACTATTAATATAAAAATGTAAACTAAAAATAAGACTAGGATACAGAAACTACAATACCTTTTTGTATGATGGGAATAAGGTATAATACAAGTACAAGTTGGTATGTGAGCCTAGACCCGACTAGCTGGTTAAGAGGAAATGGATATTGAACTAAAGCCCAATTAACTTATCTATTACGAAGGGTCAATTAAGTACAATCTCGACCCAACTAAAATGTCCGGAGACTATTTTTTATTTTTACTGGTTCTTTAAAATTATTAAAGGTAATGGTTTCATGGCCGATAGAGTCCTTTTTTTTTTTTTTTTTTTTTTTTTTTTTTTTTTTTTTTGCATATTTTATTCCTATAGTATGTGCATAAATAGGGGAGGGATAAATTAATTTTCATATAAAGTACAAAAAGTTATCTAATCTCGTATTCTCTGTAAATATCATATTTTCCGCTTTCGTATTTCTTAATTGGGTTTTATGCAGAAAAATTCTATTATTTTAGATTTTTGTTTTGATAAACTCCTAAATTTTTTATTTTGAACATAAAAACTCAATTATTTAACATTTTATCCAAATTAATAAAAAAGATTTTGTATTTTTTATTTTAACAGGAAATGACAGATTATATAATTTTTCCAAAAAATAAGATTTTTCTGTTCAATTTGTTTAGGACTTTATAAATTTTTTCCAAAATAATAAGATTTTTTGTATATAAAACCCTTCTTAATTTTGTATACAAAATTTTTTGTTCTCAAATCTCATAACGGTAAATTTTTAATATTTTATGCATTATAGTCCGTATTTTTTTTCAAGTATATATTCTTTTCCGTATAAAATTGGTATCAAAACAATTAGTTGTTGAGGTTCTCAAGCTCTCATTGGGTCACACACAACCATAGTTTGCGAATAATCCAAGCCCCCGATGGAAAGCTCCTATTTGACAAGATTTTGATACAGTTAAAACGAAGAATATTAGTCAAATAACGCAATGCAAAAAACATGAAATGCTACTTATTGGAGAAGAAAATTCGACGTTGGGACGCCATGTTGGAACATAATGTTGTGAAACAAAAGCTGCAACAAATTCAAGGCAAACCATTTTAACGCGAAATCATTAACGTGAGTTTTCGTTAATGATTTGTATTGTGAATCCAGACATTTAGGTGCTGTTTGTTTTGGAAGTGATTAAATATTTTTTTGTCTTTTTTCATGTTTGCGGAAGAAGACGTGCACTTGAAAAACGTCTACCCGCCAGAAGGGAGAAGTGCTCAAAAAGTACTTTTGTAGAAAAACAAACAAGACCTTACTGTCAAATCACTTTGACAATCTACATCCGATAAATCTAATACAAAAAGACACTTAAACCGGAGCCAGTTAAAATAGCGTGAAACAAAATTTAGAATTTTGGGCTCTTTATATAAAATTTAGAATACATATATATATATATATATATATATATATATTATAATATATATATATATATTATAATATATATATATATATATATATATAGCGTTAGGTTCATGTGAGACGGCCTAATTTTGTGAGACCGTGAGACGTATTTTTTTTTATTTATTTTCTATTTTTTTTAATTAATTCAAGTTCCAATTTTTTTTTTTTTTGGATTTTTCCATTTATTTTGCATTTTAAATTATTTTTTACAATATGTACAGTGTAATATTTTATTAGAATATTTCACGTATTTTTCAAAAAAAATGGATGTTTTTTAGTAAATTCAAGTTCCGAAAATAATATTTAAAAAAATAATTTTTAGATTTTTCCATTTATTTTGCATTTTAAAATTATTTTTTAGAATATATGTTAGTGTAATATTCTATTAGAATATTTCACATATTTAAAAAAAAAAACAGGTTTTTTTTATATTTTTTATTATTTTTTAGTTAATTTAAGTTCCGAAAATAATATTTAAAAAAAGAATTTTTGGATTTTTTCATTTATTTTGAATTTTAAAATTATTTTTAGATTTGGTATCACGGTAACACAAAATTAGAATGGTTTCAAATGAGCCTGAACATATATATATATATATATATATATATATATATATATATATATATATATATATATATATATATATATATATATATATATGGGTAAAGTGAATATACATAACAACCTTATATAAGCTTAGGTACCTAACCTCATCAAACTACATCATTTTGCATTAAATTTTCATTGCAATCATCAAAGGTTCTTAAAGTTCATCCATAAACTTGATTTACTTTAAAAAAATTTGGAAATTTATCATTATATTTCTCCTACATCCTTTCATTTGTAGCAGTAGGATATGAAACTCATCAGGTGGTATTCGATAGAAAGACGTGATGTAAAAGAAAAATATTGTTGAAAGTCTAAAGATTTTGGAAGTAATCAAGTTATGAGGTTGAAGTTTAAGAACCTTAGGCAATTATAATGTAAATATGATACAAACCGATATAATATTATGAAGTTAGGTACCTAAACTTATATAAGGTTGTTAGATATATTCATTTTACCACATATATATATATATATATATATATATATATATATATATATATATATATATATATATATAATATATATATATATATATATATAGGGGAAAGTGAATATACCCTTAAGGGTATATAAGCTTAGGTACCCAAACTAATCACAATATATCGTTTTGTTTGATATATTTATTATAATGTTTTTCAACTTTAATCCTTAACTTGATTTACATTCAACATTTTCAAAATTTCATTATTATCTTCCACTTACATCACATCTTTTTGACGAACATCAATTAGACTATATATATTATAGTTGAAAATGAAAATTATGTAAGAGGAAAATAAATGTAAAATTTATAAAAATATTTGAATGAAATCAAGTTAGAAGTTTAATTATAAGAACATTAGACAATTATAATGTATATATATATGATACAAAACGACGTAGTATGGTGAGTTTGGGTACCTAAGCTTATATACCCTTAAGGGTATATTTATTTTTCCCATATATATATATATATATATATATATATATATATATATATATATATATATATATATATATATAATTATATATATATATATATGTATGTATATATATAGGGTTAGGTTCATTTGAGACCACCTATATTTTGTGAGACCGTGAGACGCATTTTTTTTAAATATTTTTAAAAATTTTTTTTTAATTTTTTTTAGTTAATTCATGTTCCGAAAATAATATTTAAAAAAAGAATTTTTTGATTTTTCCATTTATTTTGCATTTTAAAATTATTTTTAGAATATGTACAGTGTAATATTCTATTTAGAATATTTCATGTATTTTTCAAAAAAAATAGAATTTTTTTTTATTTTTTTAAAATTTTTTTTAGTTAATTCAAGTTCCGAAAATAGTATTTAAAAAAAGAATTTTTAGATTTTTCTATTTATTTTGCATTTTAAAATTATTTTTTAGAATATGTCAGTGTAATATTCTATTTAGAATATTTCACGTATTTTTCAAAAAAAAAAAACGGAATTTTTTTTATTTTTTTTTATATTTTTTTTAGTTAATTCAAGTTCCGAAAATAATATTTAAAAAAAGAATTTTTGGATTTTTCCATTTATTTTGCATTTTAAAATTATTTTTAGATTTGGTCTCACGGTTTCACAAAATTAGAATTGTTTCAAATGAATCCGAACCTATATATATATATATAATATATATATATATATAATATATATATATATATATATTATATATATATATATATATATATATATATATAATATATTATATATTAATATATATATATATATATATTAGGCCGAGAGCCCCAAACCAAAAATAATATGGGCGCTTTACACAGATTGTTGTCAACATGGTTTTGGTAATAGCTATAGTAGAAATTTGAGAAAAATATTTAAGCTTAAAATATCTAA